CGGAGTGACTTGTGTGTTTGGACTACCAACCTTCTGGTTATCAGTCAAATGCCTTAGGCACTATGCTACGAGAGAGCTCCTTAGAGAAATGTAAATTTAAAAAAAAAAAATTGGATCATTCATATACTATTGGTGGGAATGTAAAATGGCACAGGTATTCTGGAAAACAGTTTGGCAGTATATTAAAACCTAAACGTGCAACTCGGAAGGAAGGTTAGGCAATCTACTTCCATAGTGATACTGCCTTGGAAACCCAAGGAGGGGTCGCTATGAGTTGGGTCCTACTGGACAGCATGTAACAACAACAAACATGTAACTATCATATGACCAGCAACTGCATTCTTGGACATTTATCCCAGGGAAATGAAAATTTATGTCCACATAAACAACTATATACAACTGTTCATAGAAGCTTTATTCATACTAACGAAAACTTGAAAAAAAAAAAAAAACCAGAAGTCTTTCAATTGCTGAATGGTTAAATGAACTGTGGTACACTCATGCCACGAAACATGATTCAGTAATAAAAAAGAATGGACTACTGGTACACACGATGACCTGAATGAATACTCAGAAAATTGTACGGAGTGGAAAAAAATGAACTCAAAAAGGCTATATACTCTATGTTTCCACTTATATAATATTCTTTAAATGAGAAAATTATTGAAATGGAGATGGAGACAAGATTAATGGTTGCTAGAGATCATGGATTGGGGATGGGGGAGGTAGGTGTGCCAATAAGTGGACAACATGGGGGAATCTTTGCTGTGATGGAACTATTACCTGACTTGAGACTTGATGTCAATATCCTGATTGTGATATTATAATTTTGCCAGATGTTACTACTGGAGGAAGCTGGGGAAAAAGTACATGGAATCTCTTGGTATTGTTTCTTATAACTATATGTGAACCCACAATTATCTAAAAATAAAATGCTTAATTAAAAAATAAAGGTAAAAATAAATCAAGATGGGACTGGAATATCATAGATTAATTCATAAAGAAATCCTATGGAGCAATTTCAAGAAATGCTGACTACATATATAAATTATACATGATATAGTCTGTCTATCTAAATATGATCCTAAAGTATATCTCCTCCAATATCTATTTTTCCACCCGGAAACCACATCTTAGTATACTATGTGTCCCTCTATGGCCAGTCAGCAAAAGTATTTTTGACTATAAATTGACAGATGCAGGTTTTTCAATATTCATAGCAATGCTTTGAAATAATTGTCTTTCCTAGTAAACTACCATGGATCACAACACTAAGTGAATGGTCTCTCCAAAAATCACATAGCTTCCTTTTGTTTATTAGGTTTTAAAACTGCAATTGCTCAAAAACACATCACACATACTCATACATACACATATTCCGACTTTTATAGAGTGTCAGCTTTAACATTTCCATGGCTATCTTCTTTTTACTTTTCCTCTATTTGAATTCAACACAAAATCTGACCCTAGCCACAGTGGCCCAAAATGACCTAGTAAAATGAATTTTATTTTTTCTGGCAGTGACAATCTGTGCTTGGAAATATAAAACTGTTATTCTGAATAAATTTCAAAGTTCCAAAGTACTAAAATTACTTCACTGAAACAGGACAAAATGAGCTGTTACTGCTGAGGAAAGGGATTGTTATCCCAGAAAGAACAGTGTGCTCTCTAGCCCTTGTACCCCTACTTTTGTTTTACAAAATAAACAACTCTATTTTACTTTGTGTCCTGTGGTAATAAAGACCTCTTGAAGCTAAAATTCTATTAAAAATGTTCATTTTGTCACTTTTTACAAAAACAAGCGATCAGTTTCACTTTTGCAAAACAACTAATTTTTCAACTAGTTTGTTGCTATTGTTGTGACTTTTGCATATGCCTTCTAGCAAAAAGGAAAACTGTTTATTATTTTTTTGTAAAAAGAAGAGTTTATATGTCTCTCAAATGGATGGACATTACTGAAAGGAAAAGAGGAAGAATTATTTTCTGATTTATAAATGATGCTTTAGTTTTACATTGTAGCAGTAAAATCTTAAACACAGAACTGTATTATCAGTACAAGTGCATTCTACTTTCAGAATACTAGATGAAAATTGTAGAAATGCTGTTGGTTAGGTAGGAGCCTGCTGAGGCCCAGACAGAAAGCAGATTTGTCTAAGTACACACAGAAGTAAAATGTAGAGTCTAACAGTAATAACAGCAACAACAGTAATAAAGGTGAGAAGTGGGCCTGTATTATATTTTATGCTGCTTAGGTAGATACAATTCTATGCTCAGACAGAAAATGGATGAAAAACAAAAAGACCCAGGAATGGGAGTCAGAAGATTAATCTTACTCCTTCTTCCCTAAGATTCCCTGAGGCAACGACACCAGAAGATGCTTTAACAATCTTAGCATTCTAATCAGGCAATGGATTCTGTAAATGTAGCTTATTATCATCAATTTTCCCCACCCTTTCTCTTTGGTGGTCATCTCCTCCATCATCTCTACACTCTCTTATAATTCTCCTTTTTCTACTACTACCCATTTTGCTATTAATCATGTAGTACAGTCATTTTCACACTCTAATTTATCAACTATCCTATTTCTATATCACATAGCAAAAGGAATCAAGAAAGGTTCCCGTCATCTACTCTTTCCTTAATTCTATACTGACCTCCTTGCCTATATACAGAGAAATATATACATAAAACACAGTGGGAGTTTTCCTGGGAAGAGAAGCTAGCCTGAAAAGTTAAAAGAAGAACAAGGGTTAAAAAAAAAAAAAAACACTGAAAGATGTCTTTGTGACTATACATCAGTCCACTCATCTATTTCTTTAAGAACAAAGAAATAGAGCATAATTTCCAAGCCATTATGAAAAAAAATATTTGTTTGCTTCATCTTAAAACTAAAGTGTTTATAATCTGAACTATTCCCATTATCATTACAAGCTATACATCTGTTTTACACGATTTATTTAACATGATTCTATATAAATGATATATGCAAGCTGAATAAATGGATATTCTTATCTAATAAGTATCCAGTAATTGTCTGATCAGTAGGCAATTAAATAAGTTAAATTTCAGACAAATTAGACAAATCAAACATAGGTAAGAAACTGTGGAAAAACAAATAGTTGACTTACTATTAAACATTATGCTTTTATAGACTTAGGGATTCAGGTACACATTTTGGTTGCTTTATAATAAGGCAACCAAGCTAGTGTCTCGTACATAACAGGCACTCAGTAAGTATTTCTGGAAAAATGATAATCAGGGAGCAGGAGGTGAGTATTAACAAGGAAAGAAGACAGAGCATGATGATCCTTTAATTCTAAACATTCATCAGAAAGGTGAATAGTGGTCCCAGGCCTTAGCTAGCTCACCTTCTCCTGGTGTCCCTACTTCTCCTGAATTATCTGGATAGCTGCCATTCTTGCCTTGAGAAAGAACTGTAGGTATGAAATGCTTGGGGTTTGCTTTTTTTTTTCCCCCTAAACAATACTTTAAAGAATTACAAGCATGAGAAAAGACACTCTTATAAAAATCTTATCAAAATAAATATTCTTTTATGTATTCAAGATGTTTTAAGTTGTTAAACATTCTCTAACTTGGCCAGCTTGCTCTCACTGCTAAGCTTCGGCTACCTTGACCTAGGATTCCCTACCCCTACTTGTCTATGGAAATATTCAGCCTTCAGGAACCAGCTCTAGTTCCACCTGTGCATAGAGCTCCCCTTGACCAACCCAATACTCAGGGATTCCTCCCACCTTCTCCCTTCTCACAACAGATATTAACTATACAATTGGCATGGCACTAAAATCGTACACTACCCTTACAGAGGTTCTTTTTTTTTTTTTTTTTTAATGTGATTACATACCCTCTTCCTGACAGATGATTAGTATCTGAAGTGCTGGTATTGTTTCTTGCAGGTTTTTTCCTTTTGTTTTATTTTGTTTCTTTTAAACTCTACCACACCTAGACTAGTAAACAGAAGGAACTTATTGAGGGAGAAAGGAAGGACAATCTATGCCTTCAAACACACATATCATCTTTTATTACGTGAACACAAGCATAGCTGAACCCTCTGTACTTATTACCTATGCTTCTTATTAAAATGTGAAGCAATTTAAATACAATAGTTTAAAAGTTCTTTTCTGATAAACTAGACTTCCCTTCCAGTTCCTGCTGGGTTTCAGTTTACATAAATCTGAAGGACAGGTAGTAATAGTAACTGTCAAGTTAAATCAATGGCATGATTAATTGTAACAGGCAGTGGAAAGCAACATGCACAATGAATAAAAGCATATCTGAGAGCTGACTGCAATTTTTAATTAAAAAATAATGGATTGGTGGTTAATTAAGAGTTGCCTGTAGATCTACTGAAAAAACTGAATGACTTAATGACAGCTATAGTTTAAGGTTTGAACTCACCATTTAGGCCAATCATTTCCAAAGAGGTATCTCCTAAATTATACTTTTAAAAACGTATAGATTGCCAAATTAAGCATGGGAGAAAGTTTTTCCTGAGGATAGATGTCAACTGACATGGAAGAGAGCAGCATAGAAACTGTGAAGAAGAACTGATTAACTACATTAAATGAGCTGATATGTATAAAAGGGCTTAAAATACCGATGGTACATGCTAAATGGTGAAAGAGTTTCACGCAAGCGAAACTGAAAACAGATCCTTATATAGAGAGACTTAAATATCTAGCAGCATAAAAAGTTATAAACATGGACATCCCTGGGGCCTTCTTTTCACAAGGGCCCTGCAAAAATCCAGACAAATACCAAGCTGGAATAAGAGACCTGTCTTCTTTCACAGGAACAAATATCCTTTGACTGAATTGAATTCTGCAAGTTTGCCCATTATAACTACACCTTCTTCACTCCAGCAATTTAGTGTAGATTCCAAGACTAAAGTAAAAATTAGATATCTCAATACATTCTGTAGGTCTTAGAATTATCTAGCTGCTAAAATATTACTAATGTTATGCTGTAATATAATATCATACCTTTTGGATTTCTTCAGGTAAAGCATGCATGGGAATGTGATGATCCATAGTTTCCCAAAATATACTGAGGGAGCTCTGAGGCAAAATAATCTAAAAAACATTGATGGCAGAATTGAAATAATGTCAGAATTGAAATAATGTGAAGAACATTCAAATTAAAAGATCAGTTATCAATTCCTGCGAGTACATGGGATGAATCGGTGATAACTATTTCAAGAGATGTGTTTCATCAGAGAGTTAAAAGGTACAACTGGGATGTTTTCAGTTAACTAGTAGGACAATAGAATAGGAAAGACCTAAAGAGAGTGATTGATGTGTTAGAAGTGAGATTTTCTTTAAAATTTATTACCTAGTAGTTATTTCTGTGGTGGTTTACTACTCATTATCTGTTTTGCAAATGCAGAGTAAGGATCACTTTCACATTTTAAATAGACTCATTTATTTCAATGCAAAAAGTTATTTTTTTTTCTATAAAGGTGTTAGAGAAAAAAAATCTGAATAAAGTGTTTTAATTTAGCTGAAAAGAAAAATAATTGTGTCATGAACGCTGGTTTAAATGATGAAGTGCAGACAATAATATTTAGTTACCATATTAAATACAATACGCAGGTACTAGACAAGCAATGTCAAAGCATCCAAAGTGCCAATCTTACCTAAGATGGACATTTATATAATTGTGATGCAGACATTTTGCTTTTAATAGATTTTCATTTTTCTAATCGAACATTTCAAAATGAAATTCTATCTCTATTGTCATAAAACCAGAAGATGAACAGAGGAGCACTTTGGTTTTTGTTTAATCCTTCCCAAAGATAGTGTTCTGGTTACCTAGTGCCACTCTGACAAGAATATACCATAAATGGGATGGCCTTAACAAACAGGAGTTTATTATCTTACAGTTTGGAGGCTTTAAATCCAAGTTCAAAGTGCTAGGTTCTAGGGGCTGGGTGAAAGCCCCTCCAACCTTGGGGTCCAGCTCTGCCACCTGTTCCCGGCCCACTGGAGCTGGAGGCATTTCTTCACTCAGACAGCTGCTGGCTGCTGAGGCTGGCAAACCCAAGGTTGACAAGTAAAAAGGCATAGTCCTGATGTTACCAAACCACCATGGCAGGCCATTAATTAAGTCCAATGTAAGTCCCAAGGTTGGGAGAGTATGGCAGGCTACTGAACAGCAACACAGCTACATGCAGGATCCAAGCATGCCATAAGCTAGAGACTATCCCCAAGGTCTCTCCTTATATACAGGAAGCAGACCACATCCCAAAGACAGCTACTCAGCTGCTTGTGGTAGATCCTACCATGGAGTTGACTGCCAGTCTCATCATGGGGAATAACTACCACCAGCTGCCCAGCCACTCAACCAGGCCCAGCCAAGTTGACACACAAACCTAGCCACCACAATTCCACCCCTTGTCAACTTGGCACCTGTACAGATCTTCAGTGGGTGGTATCTGTACAGATCTCTTCACTGGGTGACTCCAGTCCCCTAGTTCCTGAGTGGCGACCTCACCCCCTTGGCCTGATGGGCCCATTCCTCTCCCTCTTGGGCATGGCAGTCCTGCCTCCTCACTCTTGGACAGCAGCTATGGCTCCATCCCACTAGCTCAATGAACGAGCAGCCCCACACTCCAGAACCGAGTTGGTGAAGGTCTGGCTCTGAAACCTAGGGGGCTCTGGTGGTTCCACCCCAAAGGCCTACCCTTACAAGCTAAGGCAGCTCTGCTTCCATTTCCCTGATCTCTCTGCTTCTGCTGATTAATGTCAAAGGCAACCCACTCCACTGGAAATCTTCCTGCCCCCAGGCATTCAGGTTTCTTGCTCCATGGGCCGGCCAACCTACTACTCCATTTCATGCCAGTCTTCACTACCAGTTAATGCCCAGAGGCAACCCACTCCACCAGTAAGCCACCTAACCAAAGGCATCAAGCTTTCTCCTCCGTGGGCTGGTAAGGCTGTCACTGTCTCATGCTGGTTCTCTCAACTCAGCTTCTGCCGTCTGTCATGCTGATCTCTTGCTGTGCTCCTGCCGTCTGTCATGCTGTACACCGGGATCTCTCTACTGGGGTCTCGGGTCAAGGACACACTCCACTCCTGTTTTGCCATTTTAGGTATCTGTCAGAGCAGCATCCCACTCTCTCGGTACCATATTCTGTTCTGGTTACCTAGTGCTGCTCTGACGAGAATATACCACAAATGGGATGGCCTTAACAAATAGCAGTTTATTCTTTTACAGTTTGGAGGCTTTAAATCCAAGTTCAAAGTACCAGGCTTTAGGGACTGGGTGAAAGCCCCTCAACCTTGGGGTTCAGCTCTGCCTCCTGCTCCAGGCCCATTGCAGCTAGAGGCATTTCTTCACTGAGACAGCTGCTGGCTGCTGAGGCTGGCAAATCCAAGGTTGACAACCAAAAAGGCACAGTCCCAATGTTACCAAAACACACGGCAGGACATTAATTTAGGTCCACTGTAAGTGCCAAGGTCAGCAGAGCATGGCAGTCTGCTGAACAGCAACACAGCTACATGCAGGGTCCAAGCGTGCCATAAGCTAGAGACTATCCCCAAGGCTTCTCCTTATATACAGGAAGCAAACCACATCCGAAAGACAGCTAGCTACTCAGCTGTCTGTGGTAGATCGCACCATGGAACTGATTGCCAGTCTCATCATGGAGAATAACTACCACCAGCTGCCCAGCCACTCAACCAGACCCAGCCAAGTTGACACACAAACATAACCACCACAGATGGGGAAAAAATAGACTGTCCAGTTTCATAAGTGAGAGATGTTTATAAACAGGCTGTCTTTGGGTTATGAATGTCTGATTTATAGATAACTTCTACCTGCCCTTTAATATTATGTAAATTTGTCCTCACTTTAAAATGACTGAACCAACCCCTCGGCAACATATTCCTCATCACAGTCACCTTCACTTGATGCACATGTAGCTTTTACATCATTAAATAATTCTTGCACTAAGGTAAGGCTAAATAAGTGTTGCTAGAACACACTAACGTACTACATGTACCTCTTCCAACTGACCTATAAATTCTTAAAAGACGCATTTAGGAATGGCTATCGTATTTAACCCACAGTCTGACTGTACACCTAAAGGGAAGAGGGGCAGCAGAGTAAGATGGGACAGGTACAATTCCATATCAAGGAAGAAGGCCTGAAGGTCATGAGGACCAATTTAGGAATTCAGGAAAGGAAAATGTCTTATCTTTGGACATTTTGGGGTGGGGGAAAGTTAGCTAGTAAAGGTTTCCTGACATTTGATCTGGGCAGGATTTTGACAGAGACTGGGAAAAGCATAGTACTCTAACAGAGAAAACAACCCTAGCCATGAGGAGGGGAAAAAAAAGCACTGCTGTCAAGTCAATTCTGACTTATAGCGACCCCCATTGGATTTCTGAGGCTATAAATCCTTATGGAAGTAGATTGCCCAGTCTTGCTGGCTGGTGGGTTTGAACCACCAACCTTCTGGTTAGCAGTCAGATGCTTTATAGCCATGACAAGTTGGCAAGAAAATAGTAGGAAAAAGTCTTATAGTGGCAGTATTTTTGTAATTGTGTAATACTGGAAGAGAAGATTCCTCATCCTTTGTGTTAGTAAAAACACCCCTAGTTTTAATGATTTGCTGTTTAAAACAAGTAATGGACTGTCTTCCTACATAAAACATAATACGACGGGGGGGGGGGGGTTAAGTTAAAATTAGGGTTAATTATATGAACTTAGGTCCAAATGGCCAAGTACATTGTAATAATCGGATGTTTGCAGATTCTCATAGTGATTAAGTGTAAAGAAGGCTCATTATTCTAATTTCTACCATTTTACATTTTATCAGTAACATAGCACCATCTTATTTCTACTCAAACTCCAAAACTCACTGCCATCCGGTGGATTCTGACTCATAGTGACCCCAATTCGATTTCCAAGGCTGTAAATCAGACTGCCTCATTTTTCTTCTGCAAAGCAGCTGGTAGGTTTGAACCACCAATCTTTTGGTTAGCAGCCAAATGCCTTAACCACCACACCATGAGATCTCTACTGTTGTTATTGTTAGGTGTTGCTGAGTCAGCTTCAACTCATAGCAACCTTAGGTACAACAGAATGAAACTGCCCAGTCATGCACCAGCCTCACAACCCTTGCTATACCTGAGCCCATTGTTGCAGCCACTGTGTCAATCCATCTCATGGAGTGCCTTCCCCTTTTTCCATCTCCAGGGAATGGCTTCTTCTGACATTACCAAAGCAGGTAAGATGACGTCTAAGCCATTCTTGTTTCCAAGGAGAATTCTGGCTGTACTTCTTCCAGATCAGATTGTTACTTCTTCTGGCAGTGCATGGTAACTTTCAGTATTCTCTGCCAATATCACAACTCAAAAGCATCAACTCTTCTTCAGTCTCCCTTATTCATTGTCCAGCATACACACAATTGAAAACACCTTGGCTTGGGTTAGTAGGCGTACCTTAGTCTTCAAAAAGACATCTTTGCTCTTCAGTACTTTAAAGAGGTCTTTTGCAACAGATCTGCCCAGTGCAATAAGTCATCTGATTTCTTGACTGCTGCTTCCATGGGTGTTGATTATAGAACCAAGTAACATGAAATCTTTGACAACTTCAATCTTTTCTCCATTTATCGTGATACTGCTTATTGGTCCAGTTGCGAGGATTTTTGAGTTATGTTGAGATGTAATCCATACTGCAGATTGTAGTCTTTAATCTTTATCAGTAAGTGCTTCAAGTCATCTTCACTTTCAGCAAGCAAGGCTGTGTCTTCTGCACATCACAGGTTGTTAATGAGTCCTCCTCCAATCCTGATGCCACATTCTTTGTCATATAGTCCACCTTCTGAGGTGATTTGCTCAGCATACAAATTGATTTAAGTATGGTGAAAGGATACAACCCTGACGCACTCCCTTCCCGATTTTAAACCATGCAGTACCTCATCCTAAAATTACCAACTAATTCTGCTTCTAGTTTCAATCATAAAATTATTTGACAGTATGAATCTAAGTGACAGTATAAGCAAAGCAACAGTGGAACTACTTTT